TGATACAGTAGTACCACCTCCAGGGATCATAGAGTCCATAGGTCTTCATACCCATTCAGTGCCAGGGTTTTCTACTGAGACCAATGACAAAGGTGCAAATTTTGATGTTCTGTGTATCTTTTCCCTCCTAATATGAGTGCTTATACTATAAGGACTCAACTGAAACTCACTTGACTTTGAGTAATCAGTAAGCTAGCTAGGGTCATGGTACTGTTATGAATAGGGAGTTCTGAATCACTGGCTTCTTCATGGAGATATATAAATATATATGTGGATATGTGACCTGATTCAACTTTGTGCCGCTAGCTCAATGACACAGCAGGGTCTAGCTTTGGAGGACAACAGCTCAAATGTATCTTTATTACTTTTGAAAACATGAGAATTGCACAGGGAAAATCAGGTTTTCTAATAGAATCTGAAATCTGATGCTAGTAGATATAAATTTGCAGTTAATGTGTAATTCTCCCTCCCTGGGACACGCGCGCACGCGCGAGCGCACACACACACACACACACACACACACACACACACACACAGAGTCAGTCTTTGGAAAGAACTTCCAATGACTGTTTCACTTCAAAAGTCACTCTAGGGTCTCCTCCCTTTACATTGACATTCTTTTTCCTTTCTCAGAGAAATGGAAGCACTAAGGTTAGTGTACGTCCAGATACTCAGTACAGTTGTCTTGACTGTCCAAATTGAAAAAAAAAAATTGGTGGTTTTATCTTTTGTGACTTCTGCCTTCCCATGAGCCAAAATAAACAAGGCTAAAATGCAAAGGGACAGGTTCAGGGAGAGAGGGTTTGTTTCCATTGGAAAACATAGAGAACTTGGAAAAATAGGCTCCTACTTGGAAAAAGGGTACTGAAGAAACAACACTTTCCTTGGCCCTGCAAATGAATTGTTTCAACCTCTCAAATACTACTTATAATTTCAATGTTATATCCAAAATACTAGTATATTATTGCTAAGTTAGTGATAGCCATTAAACACCTATATGTTATTTTAAACATTGTGTTAATGCAAAGGGACAGGTTCAGGGAGAGAGGGTTTGTTTCCATTGGAAAACTCCACCTCCTGTTCTAAGAGTGCAGATGTTGGTGATATCTTTAACGCCTGGTCTCACTTCAACCTAGTAAAGTTTTCTTAAATGCTGTGTAAGTCATGACCTGCCAGTTTGATTTGCTAAATATAATCTTAACTGTAGGCAAGAATTGTTAATTACCCACATAATTTTAACAGAGTGGCTTTGCCAAGCCCAATAATTCAATTCTTTCTGAGCTCTAACTTTTGTTAGTTACTCAATGACCATCAGGATTGGAATAACTCATTAGTTGTTTATGTTTCCCACTTTTGACTTGTGTTTGTCCCACTTTGAAGTTTCTATTCTGTTGAGCCTTAAGAATTGAAAAACACTTGTATTGGCAGACTATTAATTATTTAAAAGGCAGATAATTAAAAAAAGCCACGTATGCCTCACCAAAGAAAGAATATAGTGAGACAGAAAGAAGTAAAAAAGGTAAACAATGAAATCTTACCAATAGTTATTTTCGATAATGGTTTCAAGGATCAAGCCATCTGTGTCCTCTGACCTCATCCATCCAGACATTGGCCAATACCAGGTAATCTCTAATGTAAAACACATTGTACCAGAACCCTGAACCTCCTTAATACCTTTTATGTTTCTTTACTTTAATTAGTATGAATTTACAATAAAAACTGTCACTTAAAGTTATTCACATAGATCAAATTATATTAAGTCACACATTTTGGAACAAAGTGTTTGAAATTCAATGTAATAGATTTTTACAAAACATTGGCCTTTGTTCTTTGATCATACTACTCTCAAGTTATTACGAAAGAATTTTAGAGACCCAAGAGTCTAAAAAATGCATTGTTTATCATTTGTCAGGCTTTAGAATGACTTTGTATGAACCAGTAACATATTCAAACTAGAATTATGGATATTTTTTTCTGTCTCACTGGAAAACAGGATATTTTGGACAGATGATAATCTGATTTAAATAGAATTTGTTCCTTTCATCATGTTTCTCATATCAAAAGTTTTTTACTTATGTAGCATTTTAGAAAGGATGACAACAATATAATCTGTTGCCATCAATGTCTCTGTAGTTACTTACATATTTCTCCATACTGACTTTTTTCCCCACTTTGAAACCACATTTTGTTTCTGTGTGAAATGATAGTGTAGTGTCATTTCACTATGGAGATGGATGGATTCACACATGTGACCCTGACATGGAGCCACCACTGTGATTCTCACCTTTTGGAAAAATACTTATGTTCCTATTGCATATATTTGTTGCTGTAAAACACAGGTAATATTGTTTCACTCTTTTCAAACATTACCATAGTTAGGTCTGTTAGAGGAAATTAAAAGACAGCTAAAGTTTAAATATGCTCAAAAATGACCCAGTTCCTTGTCCTTTCTCAAAACACAAACCAGAAAGAGGCTAAAAAAGCACAGTACTTTTTACTGTTTACAGGCTATGTAGTAGCTTATTCTGAATGTCTTTGGCCTAGGACTTTTCCAACTGTCCCTATTTGCAAGGATGTCCGATTAACTCTTTGCTAATTTCTCTAGGCAATTAAATACTAATCAAAATGCCATTGTTTTCTTTTGTTACCAAAATTAATTAAAACACACAATAGATTAAAACAATAAAATTCTCTTCACTTTTCACACAGAATCAGTTGATTGATGTTTTATATTTCACCAGAGCCATTAAATTGCCCAATAAGAATAAATTTAGCAACAAATTTAATAGTTCATGAACTAATGTTTAAAAAAGCTAACAAATTACTGATCCCCCTAAAAGGCTTATTAAGCTGTATCTTCTTTAGTTATTACAAATAACATATGTTAAATGTTCTAAGGAGAAAAAAAGAGAAAGAAGAAGAAAAGGAATGAAGGCAAAAGAGAAACTAACCAGGGGAGGTGTTGGGGGAAGGGGAACAGAGAAAGAGAGAGAGAGAGAGAGAGAGAGAGAGAGAGAGAGAGACTGACCTGACCATCTGGCATTTTTCTAGAAGTAAAGTGAGCACACTATGTTGCCAAAGTTGCTATCTGTGTATAAGAGACATTGTGGAATGTTTTGAAGGGATTGTTCTAGAAGTTCATTCTCTGCTCTTTCAGAAATTTTAGCTTTTCCTACGTTAAGAGCAAAATGAACTCATGAAGCTCTCCATTCTGGCCTCTCTCATTCTGAGACTGGTTCTTTGCAAAACAGATGTTCAACAGTTACTGTTTAGTAGTTTTTATGACGTCTTTGGCAGTATATATAGTTAGTATAGCACTCATCCATTTTTATTCATGATTTTAAAAAAGGATACTAAGGCATGTAAGTGACTTGTTCAAAGTGATACAAAAGGCCATTGGACCTGAAACCTGCAAGGACATGCTTATCATAGATTATAGTAGTAGACCATTTATTACATAGTAGAATTCCATAGATTACAGTAGGATAGATGATTGTATTCTAATGACATAGGGGACCCAGAACCTGGATACCAGTCAGCAAATATCTACTGGATGAATAACCAGTATAAGAAAAATATTCTGTATCAGAGCGCTTCTGTTAAAGCAGAATTTGTCATTTTTTGTTATCCAAGAGTGACCTTTTATAATATATATGTATATCTGCATATACATATATATCTGAAAATGGGATGCTTTTTCTTTTTCTTGCTTGATTTATAGGATTCTGTGCTAGTTGTGCATACAATCCCACTTTGAACCTCAATATAAAATTGTTAGAATATTGTGTTTTTCTCTGCTATGAAAGTTTGTTTTCCTATTTGCTTAGAATTTTATACATGGTGTAAAACTGATATTATTTGCCAGGTTCATTTTGAAAATGCTTTACATATTCATTGAAATATGAGGAGTCAGTATGTTACATTTCCTAGAGTACTCACGTGACGATTCCCACTTGTGTTCATCTGAATGGACTAAGACCACATGCTCCAGAGTCATCTAGGTGCTTGTTAAAATGGAGCCTCTAGATTGCCAGGGTTCAACCACCTGACGTTCAACATTTCAGAACCCCTGTTCTACATACTATCTACAAAGTCCAGAAATTTTTATTTTCATGTCAGTATAAATTCTCTTGGAAAGAATAGAGGAGTTATAATTTTGTTTAAAAATCTCAGTGGCTATTTTTTTTTAGTAGATTAAGAAAGCATATTGGAATATTGCTCCAAGGTTAGTAAATCAATAACCCATATTAGTCATGAGAACAGAAACTGCAGAGTGACATGGTAATACATACCACACCATAAATGTGCCCTGAAGACATAGTAAATGAAATAAGCCAGACACAAAATGACAGATGTCCTCAGATTTTACTTTCCTGGCATAGGTATATTTGATTTTATTTATTGAAATGTAGCCACCTGTATGAGTGCTATTTTCTACTCTTCTTTTGCATAACTATTCAATTATTTCTCTTTCTTTTGAGATCATAACATATTTACATCATTTCATCCTTCCCTTTCCACCTTCCAAATTCTCACATGTTCCCCTCTTTCAAGTTTTGCTTTTAAATTCATAGCCTCATTTTTCATTATATGTATATTTATGTGCATATAAATTCCCAAATAAAGAAGTAGAACTTGTTCAGTCTGTATATTTCTGGTATGTATGTTTTTAGAGCTGACCATTTGATATTGGATAACCAATGGGTGTGATGTTTCCCAGGGCGACTATTTCTCATTTTCGCACTTACTTTGAAGCTATGTCTTTGCTCTTATTTTGTTTTCTTGAGTGTTGAAATGGGCAATTACATTACTGAGTTTAGTATGGTCAAAAACAGGGAAGAGTAAAAGATTATTAGAAAAACTGTTGCAGTATGTAGGGGAAGCTATAGCCACGCCTACTTAGGGGCTAGCTACAGGTGTGCCTGACCAAGCCTGTGAGGGCGTGGTCAGGGTAATGTAGAGTGAGAGGTTCAGGTGGCTGGGTTTCACTTTCGGTTTCGCTTTTCTGCTTGCTGTACAGACTGCTGCCGCGCTGGCTGTCTAGGTCGCTCTGTAAGTAAGGCTTTTCCCTATTTAATTCCCTTATATTTCTACTTGGCTCCGTATTGGTAATTTCCCACATTAGCAGTATTAATTTATGTATGTTCAGTGTTCAAAGTATAAACATGTATGTTCTGCATGTGTGAAGGTTTCTAATGTGACAATGAAGCCTGTGGAGATGGTATTGTGTCCTTTTCTGATATAGTACTAGCTTAAGAACTATTGCTGCTATCAAAATGAAGAGGATCTTACAAGTTGGTGGCACCGGGTCACTGTCTTACTTGAGCTGACTCTAGCATAAGACATCCAGGAGCTATGGTCTTGAAAATTAGCTTTCCGGATCAAGGTAGTTTATTAGTCGGCAGTTGAGAAATTTGGTGTGCATCTTCCAAAGCTAAGGTTAAGGTGATAAAACAATTGAGCCTTTTAACACTTAAACAAAGGTGGAGGTGAAATGAAATAGCCATTCAAAACAGCAAATAATTAATCGAGTCTCTTTGTTAACAGGCAGGAGGTCAAGTACACACAGCCACAAGAGTGATACAGTCTGCATTGTAAACAGCTGAGTCTTTGACTTGGAAGTGATTAGATTGGGTTGTTGGGAACTAATTAAAACAAGATTTTAACTTTGAAAGGTAATGACACAGTAGGAAAGATAGTATAAAATATTTAAATATGGTCACTTTAGTTTTGATCTTCTTATGAGTTCAATGGAGTTATTACTTTGAATTTCATTTATATGTTTTACCTTTAGTAAGTCATGTTATATACTTGTTGGGAAGCTGTAACTAAGTAATCCCACAGTAAGATATTGATTATGTGAGTGGATCAACATGAAGAAATGTAGGTAGGTTTCTAGGTATTAAAGGTTAATAATAATAGAATATGCAGTTTTCCACAGAAACATTTGAATTAGATGCTGCTTCTGCATAGACTTGTTTAAATATTGTGTTTGAATTGTTATAGCTTGGCACTATCTGTTCTTAGGGAATTGTAATTGTAAAAGAAGTTCTAAAAGAAAATTCTACCTATGTATAGCTCAAAATGCAATTTTGTTTAAAATAGAGGGCAACAATTAAATTTGCATATTAACTGACCTATAATGATGGAGAAGGATCCACATCTGTAATGAGTGGTGAGGTGAGGCTGAGGGGAATCTCTGGGAAGAACTGGAAAAGGCCTGGACCATGCATGTCTCTAATTGTCCTGTAAAGAAGGGGGGGGCATCTCAGTGCCAGTGAACAGACTGGAGGTATGAGCACTGTGCTGGAAAAAGAAAAGCAGACAGATGGCAGCCGTGAGAAAGAGCTGATAAAGGGTGGGAGAGAGGCATGGTGAGCATCAGCAGGCTTTGGGGATCTATGTTTAAAAATGAAGCTCAATCAGAGAATTTTTGTGAGACACATTTATTTGACTTCATAATGTCTTTCCCAGACAGCCATTGATTCTTCATCAGAATGGTTGAAAATTAGGAGTTTCATTTTGCTGTAACATGGGAGCTTTGCCAAGAGACACTAGCACAAACATAAGTGGTAAAGAACAATCTCCAGATATATATATATATATATATGTATATATATACATATATATGTATATATATTATATATTATATATAGTTTATACTGGAGATTGTTCTTTACCACTTATGTTTGTGCTAGTGTCTCTTGGCAAAGCTCCCATGTTACAGCAAAATGAAACTCCTAATTTTCAACCATTCTGATGAAGAATGGTGGGAGGTGAGCATATGTTTCCAAGGATCTGCTTTTATTTAAATTAAAGCCTCCTTCCTATATTTAATCCACAGACATATAAAACCAGTTGGAAATCATTTCCCTTAATTCTGCTTTGCCTTGGTTTGCTCCATTGTTGAGGCATTTGAGTATTAGAATGCTTCTTATCCCTGTGTCTGAGAGATACTCATTAAGCTTCAGCTGTGAGAGCCATATGGAAATCAGGCCCATATGAATATCATCCACACATGGAGTAGAAGGGTTACTTCCATTTTAACTCAGTAATTTCCCACTGCTGTTCCCTTTTGGAGACACACGGTTGTTGGTCATGTTTGAGTTGTAGAGTGGTTTCAGAGCCTGTAAAATGTACAATGGGAGAAGAGCATCAACATGACAGCTGCAGAGATTAGAGTCTGTTCTCTGTGTGTACAGAATGGGAAGACTGGTGCTCAGGAAGGCAGGCAGGCAAGCCTCCACACATTAATCAGTGTCTCCCAACCCACTATCATAACAGCTCTCTGTAAGGAACAGCTTGTGATGGCAACATTGTATGTTCACCTTTAAGAAGATAAGCAAATATGTGGAATAAAAGTTCATAAATGACAGGGAAAAAAGTAGCCATAGTATGGGCAGGTTAAAGAATGAGAGAAAGAAAACTCTTTTGACAAATTGCAATCTCACTGCATTTTTAACACAATAAAATACATACCTGAGTACATTTTATAAATGCTACTGTCTACACTATAGTTGACTAAATAGCATGGTAGAGCTAGCCCATGAAAGGTTTGTTTGCAACTTGAAGTATGGTCATGACTCGGGGAAAGACATTTCTCTTGTAGTTATATGAAATATAAGCAGTTAGGAATATTCCAAGATCTGTTTAAGTATAATTTGACTGAGCATATATAGGTTTCTAGGGTAGAGTATAATGGTTTTCATGCATGTAGTGCAATTAACATTTCCAGCACCTCTCATGCATAATTTTGGTTGTAAAAGCATTGATGATCTCATTTTAGCAATTTTCAAGCATTTTTTTTATTATTACTGTTGTTGCTATGCCAAAGAAGACATTTATAGAACTTCCGTATTGATGAAACTGTGTGCCCCTTCAACAACATCTGCCCATTTCTACCTCCAGGACAAGTGTCATTCTTCAATCCATAACTGAAAATAGGTTGCCCTACTAATTTTCTGTTAAAAAAAATGGAGCTTTTCCAAGCTAGCCTAGTAGGGGAAAGCACAGTTGTGAGACAGTGTACAACAACATCAAAAGCAAACTCTCTCTGGTTCTGGGGCCCTGTTAAATGCTGAGAACCCAAATGTGGCAACTCAGCGATGAAACCAGAGCTTTTGCTCCATTTCCAATGATCATGGGGCACAGGCTCCTCCTCTCTCATCTGACTCTTTCTCCCTGAATGCTTACCTCTCTTGGCTTAACAAAACAAGGCAACTTAGAAATTATTCTGCCAAATTTCCACTAAATTGTCCCCAACATTTCTTTAGTCTGTTAAAAGATATTTTTAATGCTTTGCCTAAAATGTTGCCATTCTCTACTGGTCTCATTTACAATACAGTTCTTAGAATTATTAAGCTTCAAATTTCAATAAGTAAATTATCATAGCAACCAGTTTTAGCAAACAGCCTGTTTATGGCTCTTCATCTTATCAACACAGACTCTAAGCTCCAGTGGCTTTATATCCTGCTAGCATCTGTGTAGGGCCCTGTTCCTCAGTCAGCAGTCTTTACTGGCATCAGTGGAGGCACATTGACCTGTCTGGTTCTCAGCTTTGGCTGGAAATCATTGAAATGTCTCCCTACTGGACACTTACTTTCTAAACCTAATCCTGAAAAGTTTTATTTTTGTTAATCACAGTCATGGGGCATAATGGCAAGGGGTGGATCATCAGTCTACACTTCCCATTTCCTATGACCACAGACAATTATGTTGAAGACCCTGACCATGTTGTTTTGAAAGCTGTGATGAACACATTTAACACATCAGCCCCTGTCCCTTCCAAGCCCTTGCTGAACACAATTAGGCAGTCTTCAAGCACATTTTTCACTTATATTCATAATGCTAAAAACTATGGTTCTTTTTCAGATATATGACTAGTTAGAAATTAATATAGTTGAAGAGGCAGGCGGAGATCAAATACTGTCTTTGAGTAAAAAGGTCCTATATGATGTTGTTCTTTCTCTCCTGACTTGATCAAATGCATCCTGCCTTGACTGTAATATCTCACACCCCATAGTATAGTCATCATCATGGTAAACTGGCATGTGAGCAGAGTTAGTGACTTGCTGGCCCTTACTCCAATAGCATTTTCTGAATGTTCTCACCTCTTGTGTGTATATCAGCATAAAGGTATAGTTAGCTCTTACAACTGGAATGTACATCACACTTTAATTGACCTACATTTATGTGCCATTTTTATATGGATGTGGTGTGATGTTAAAAACAAATACCTTACTTTTCGAGGTGATTCATGGCATGAATATTCTTTAAGCCTCACAAAGATGTATGGCAGAGTTTTCCAACCTGCCTGAATGTAGAAGTCAAATAGTTCAGTCAAAATATTAGATAGACTGATGGTTTACTCCTTCAAAAATGTTTCTTTGCCCTACAGTAAATCATACTTTATTGGATGGTCAGTTAGGTATAGTATAGCAATAGTCAATTAGATAGTGTAGCTAAAGGCCTAAAGGCTAGCTTGACTAGAAGGAAAACAAAGACTCCAAAGCATATGTTCAGCTTTGGAGCTACAAGAGTGGTGTAAAGATCTCTACTTTGAAAATCTGGTATAGTTGATTTTTCATTTGAGAATTCTTTGCTTGCACATGTATGCTCTACTGAAAGCATATTCCATGTATAAAAGCAACAGATTTGCAAAATAAGTCAACCAAGGAATTTCATTTTCTTGAGCATATGTTTCTTTATGGCTGGAAGTACATTTCTTCAAATATGATTTCATATTGTACAGTAGAATAAATAAAACACATATCATGAATGTGATATATGTATTCATGTCCATACACTCATTCTGGATGTAATTGTTTTTAACCCCTGAACATTGTATTGTCCTATGCTTTGAAATGCTTCAGTTTAATAAACATTGGTGGGTATGATCTCACTGTTATTATTATTTTAAATCCCTTAGATATCTGTAGAGATATGAAGATACTTGTTCTTAAGTATAAAAGAGCTAACCACAAACTATTGCAACTCTTTATAATTAAAGAAATTATAGTCATAATACACATTTATTGATTTTACACAATCAA